AGATCGCCAGTCCCAGGTCTGGGGCCGGGCCTGACATACTCGCAGATGCAGATCGCCAGTGCCAGGGTTGGGGCCGGGCCTGACATCCGCGCAGATGCAGATCGCCAGTGCCAGGGTTGGGGCCGGGCCTGACATCCACGCAGATGCAGATCGCCAGTGCCAGGTCCGTTCCGGGCCTGACATACGCACAGACGCAGATCGCCAGTGCCAGGTCCGTTCCGGGCCTGACATACGCACAGACGCAGATCGCCAGTGCCAGGTCCGGGGCCAGGCCTGACATCCTGCATTTCTAACAAGCTCCCAGGGGAAGCCAGTGCTGAGAGTCCTGCTCTGCTGATGACACTGAGTGGGGAGGTGAAGAAGGCAGTTCTCTGCCCTGGTTACCTATGAGCATCATCTGGGCAGCATTAAAAACACACCAATGGCCAGGCCAACTCGGGAGATGTCGGTTTAGTTGGCCTGAGGTGGAACTGGGCATCCAATGTTCTTGGTGGTGGAGGTGATGCAAGTGACCAGGGCTAAGACCGTGGCTGGGAAGGTGGCCCCAGTTTGTTTGATTGCTAGAGCTGCTTACTAGAAATCTTGATCCCCAGGAGTGGCCTAGGAATTGGTATTTTTAAGCAGGTGACTCTTCTGGTTGACAAGTTTAGGGACTCCTCATTTCTGGACCAGTGGCGTTTTTTGAATCGCTTCACCACTAGAAAGGATAGTAACACCTACAGTTTTTGAAAATAATAAGGCATGCTGCTAATCAAGAAGCCGCTAAGCCTTGCCCTCTCCCCTTTGAACTTTCTTACTTAAGCAACTTAAAATAGATGATGGGTGTGTCCTATGTTGTTAGGGGGGAAAATTCATAACTGGATATTTTGAAAACAGATTTAAGATTAATTTTTTTTTTAATTTAACTGAAAAAAAAAATCTTAAGAGCATGACGCTCCACTGAGAATATAAAACTGACTTTTCTATGTTCCATTGGCAAACGAGGGCTAGAAGGATCTTCTGCCTGGCAGTGTAAATGATGGCTACAATGGTGAGGAGCTGCAAACAACACGATGTAAAAAACGTCTGAAGCCGTTATTAGATATTCACTTCATATTAGCCTCCTCCACTTACACTTAAAACATAAACACTGGCTTTTCCCCTCCCGGTGTTATTGCAAAGCAAACATCACTCCTAGTCCCTATTGAAATTACACGTAAACACCCCCAATTAGTATTAATGCAAAGGAAGTATAGTTGGAATGAATAAATGGCACAAATTATAGTATAATTGTCTTATTACCTTTACACATATACAGAAACTATAGCAAGTAAAATGTCAGTGAAAGGCCTCTGAGAATTAATAGCCTAGGAGAATTTGTAATTACCTCACTGATTCTATTATAAACAATACATATTTTTCTGCATCCATTGCAAGTTAGCCACTAGGATTTACATCAGTTATCTTATTTTATGCTTCCAGCAACCCAGAGGTGTATTTGTGGTCACAGGCTACTGTGAGGTGGGACATCCTTTTCACACTGTGGACTGCTTGATGGCCAAGTTTAAATTCCCACTGACACCACCACAAGTCTTTGTTTTCCAAGTACTTTACACACGTAAAAAAATCTGTACATTAAAAACATGATTACTGTGGCTGCCTTGTGTTACAGATTTGCTCGACACACATGAGCCTGAAAGCAAAGCTTTGCCCACCTCTCCCACCCTGCAAAGTAACGGGGCCTTTTCCCATTTATTTCCATTTTTTCTGTCTTAGTGTCTTGCTTAGATAATTTGTCTCAAGTGATTTTCTGGCTCCCTATTATTTTTTTCTCTTTTTTTCAGCAATAGCATAAAATTACCTGACTTTATTTTAGGAATACTTAAGGACAGTAGGTTCGATGTGAAAGCCACGTGAACTCTGAACAGCTGTGTATTTAGGCATTAGGTTTTACCTATTGCCTCTTGTAAAATCTTTTACATTAGAACTTTTTTCTTTTTTTTTGAGACAGAGTGTCACTATGTTGCCCTCAGTAGAGTGCTGTGGTGTCACAGCTCACAGCAACCTCAAGCTCTTGGGCTTAAGCAATTCTCTTGCCTCAGCTTCCCATGTAGCTGGGACTTTAGGTGCCTGCCACAATACCCAGCTACTTTTTTGTTGCAGTTGTCATTGTTTAGCTGACAGGGCTGGATTCGAACCCATCAGCCTGGGGTATGATTGGTGTATGGCCGG